ACGGACAGACTTTTACATTTATTTAACCTTTTATCAAACCTTCTGAACCTCAAACCTTCTCGTGGCTTTGAAAGAAATGATAATATTATAATTAATGTTATTATTGAGTTCTTACTGACTTTGTGAAGCATCTTAGAGTCCTGACCGGTGCCGTGTGAGTGTTATGAATCATCAAGAACACCGTTTAGGTGGAGCCACAAAAACACAAAGAATTTACAGATTTCTAACATTCTGACGGTCCTTGAACTCATCACACATGACTTTTGTTTTTATCTTAAAACATTTTACTATTTTAATCCTGGATCCTGAACGTCTCATCATGAGCAGTTCGAGGACTGTGGGAAAGCTCAATACTGGATGATTTTACCAGTTTTTACGGTTTCTGGTGCTGATAAATTCTGATATTTTGGTAAATCTGTAAAGACAAGGTGCCTTTTTAAAAACAGTTTTAGTGCTGAGAGGATTAAATTACTGAAAAAGGACTTAATGGAGCCTATGAATGTTCAAACATAATAACTGCAGCAGCTGACTGACGCCTCGGAGAACGTCCTGCACATTAAACACACTCAACAGCCCACAGCTGGAACATTTCTGACATTTACTGCTAATAAATATGATTAGAATCAACTCTGACGCACTTCCGGTCCCGTGTCTCCTCCTGTGGTGGGTTTGTTCCGCCCTGAGCCACACTGGAGTCATTCTGGACAGGTCTTTTTTAAAATTTATTTATTTCTGACCCGAAGCATTTTTTGAGGTCTCTGCTGGTTGCCAGGCAACCGCTCAGCTTCCGTTACCATGGAGAGCAGGAAGTTCGGTCCGAGTTTGCTTCACCGTCGGGGTACCGAACCGACTTCAGCTTTCTGTCTGGATTCCTCCTCCTGCTGGTGATTCATGCGGTCCAACCTGACGCCGTCTGAGCAGAACACGGGTCCAGAACATGCTGCTTCCATCGCTGAAGGAACCGAGTCACTCCTTTGCTCTTTATGTTCCGTCCTGACTGTTGGGTCAAACCGCAGCTCTGGTTCCTTCTCAGGAACTTTGTCTGAAGGCTGCTTGTCGAACACACGAGGCCCGCGTTTACATATAAGCTGCTGTGAAGTGGGTCCGACCAGAACCGAGCAGGTATCTGGTCCCTCCTCGGTGCTGAACATGCTCATTGGGGCAGAAACCCTGCGACAGACGAGTCTTCTCTCATTAAAGCAGCAGATAATTCTCCGGGTCTCATTATTTGGACTCGGTTCGGTCACTGTGGGGGAAATGTCACGGATCGCGCTAATGATCGACACCGAGGCTCGTTCCCGCTGAGCCCCTAATTAGCGCCGCACGCTGCGCAATTTTCCTGATGATTAATTCTGTTAGAATTATTCCTGAACCGGTCCGTGTGATGGAGGCGGCGGCAGAACTCCTCCGAGGTTCTGGTTCCGCTGCAGCTCGGTGTGAAGAGAGAGGCTGCGTCTGACGTTTGATTTCAGTATGTACACTGTTAAAAATAAATAAAATAAAATAAATCTGGAAAAAAAAGAGTTAAAGGAGCAATCACTTAAAATAAAGATAAATTATTCACAAAGAAATAACAGCTCATATCTGTGAAGTTTAATATTTTAAACTATTAAACTGTAAAAGAAGAAATTACTGTAAAAATCTACATTTTTTAAAATGTGGAGGTTATTTATTGTTTCTGTTTAGTTTTTTTTTTAAAACACTTAATTTGTTTTTCTGTGATTTTACTAAATAATATCTGTAATTTAATAAAACAAAAAATCTGTGAAATAAAAGTAAAATTTTAAAAAATAAAAACAGCTTTAAAGCAGCGCACTGTAAAAAACAAAAACATTTATATACAGTTTTTTTTAAAGTTATTTTGCAGTCAAATGTTGGAAAAGAATAAATGACTGTTTATAAAAATACTGATTTTTAATGTGGACGTTATTGGTTATGGTTTTTGGCCAATTTTCTTTTTTTTTAATTAGTATGTAAATTAATTTTTTTTTCCTGTGGTTTTATTTTCTGTAACATAAAACAGCAAATCTGTAAAATTCAGTAAATTGTTTAAAAAATGAATTAAAGTTGAGAACTGCAGAGTTTTTATTATTATTTCTGTTCGTCTTCAGTTTCTAACAAACCTCCTGCTGCCTCCTTATCTACAAAATCACATTTCCCGTTTCTCTTATCGTTCTTTTATCTCTCGCTGCTTTTATTTTATTGGTAACGGATCATAACGTCGATCAAAAGGCGTAAAGTTTGAGGGACTGTGGTTCATGTTTGTCCTTTAATCGGAGCTTTGAAGCTTCTGGAAGCTTCTGGAAGCCGCAGGCTGTCGGTGGCTTTAAATAAATCTGGATCCTGAGTTTCTGCTGATTTAAATTCTAAAACAACCAAAAACACAGAATTCAAACGCAGCTATGAGAGAAAAAAGAAAACCATCGTGTGAGTTTTCTGCAAATCGTCTCGTCCTGAATCCACCTCGAGTCTCGAGTCGACGAGTCGGCGAGCGAGCGAGTGTTCAACCTGCTGGCGTCGGGCAGCGAGGACGCTGCTCGGCTCTTTCCTGCGATTACACCAGACGTGACTCACAGCAAACAAACTGTTCTGCTGAGATCGGTCCAGACACTAAAAATACTTCCAGACGTGAGGCTGGAATCGTGTCAGCAGAGCTTCTGGGGCAGAACCAGGAAACATCATCCAACATCCAGCATCCAACATCCAGCATCCAACATCCAGCATCCAGCATCCAGCATCCTGAATCCAACATCCAACATCCAACATCCAACATCCAGCATCCAGCATCCTGCAGCTTCCACTGGGAACACGGAGCCGCTCCTCATCTCAGCTCCTGTTTTTAACGAGTTTCTTCAAGTCTGTGAAGCTGCACCAGACCCGTCGACAGGTGTCCTTGTGTTAACGCTCTGATCCTTCAGGCAGTTTTTATTCTGGTTGCTTCTGGCTCATTTTTAATCATAGAAAACGGAACACCCAGATCTAACCCAGTTAAAACAACAATCATAAGGAAAACACAGGCTGCAGTTCAGCCGAGGAGTTTCTTATTTGTTGTGACTGGACTCTGGGTTGTAGTCGAGTCACTGGTGGCTTCACGGTTACATTCAGGAGTGCAGAATTTTTTATTTTTCACAGAATTAAGTTCAAACAAAGGAGTCACTTTTGGTAATTTTTTAAAATGAGATTTTAAATCGTAGAAGTCGGCCACAGCTGAGTCACTGACGGCTGCACTGCTGCGACATGAAGTTCAGAGAAAATTAGATTTTATTCTTAACTGTTTTTTCAAAATGTAGAATAAAGTGATTGGACAGGAATATTCTAATTACAATTATTGTTATAATTATGTTTAGGAAAGTTTAAAATTTGACAATGTTTTTGTGTTTTTACATTTTGTAGGTTAAAAAAAGCAAAAAAGTTGAATTTCCTTGATTGAAAACACAGACTCAGCGTGTTTTATATTTTCTCAATATTAATAATCCTAAATCATATCTCTGTTCTGGTTATACAACACCTGCAGTGCAGCAGAAAAGTCCCAGAATTTCCGTTACATGACTTTTAGTTTAAGTTCCTTGTGTGGCTGCATGAACACCTATTGAACCAGACATCATTCAAAAAAATCCCAATTTTAGACTCCACTTTATGTAGTGTTTTTGTGGCTGCTCAGACCTCTATAGAACCAAACTTTACTCAAACGATTCCCAATTTTAGACTCGACTTTACTTAGTTTTTCTGTGGCTGCGTGAACATCTATTGTACCAGACTTCATTCAAAAATATCCCAATTTTACACTCGACTTTATCCATTTCTTGTGTGGCTGCACTGACAACTACGCACCAGACTTCATTCAAAATATTTCCAATTTTAACCTTATTCAGCTCATGTTTCCACACAGACCTCTAAAGCACCAGACTTCATCCAAAGTATTCCCAATTTTACACTTGACTTTATTCATTCCTTGTGCGGCTGCACTGACAACTTCAGAACCAGACTTCATTCAAAATATTTCCAATTTTAGACTCGACTTTACATATGGTTTGTGTGGCTGCTCAGACCTCTATAGAACCAGACTTCATTCAAAAAATCCTAATTTTACACCTGATTTACATCTGTTCTTGTGTGGCTGCAGTGACATTTATAACTATAATTTACAACATCTACAGCACCAGACTTCATTCAAAATATTCCCAATTTTAGACTCAACTTAGTTTTTCTGTGGATGCACAGACCTCTATTGAACCAGACTTCATTCAAAAAAATCCCAATTTTACACTTGACTTTATACAGTTTTGGTGCTTCTGCCCAGACATCTAGCGCACCAGACTTCCTTTCAGATATTCCCCTATTTTAGACTCAGCTTTACTTGGTGTTTGTGTGGCTGCTCAGACAGCTATACAACCAAACTTTATTCAAAATATTCCTAATTTTAGCCTCGTCTTCTTTCAGTTTTTCTTTGGCTGTGCGGACCTCTATTGAACCAGACTTCATTCAAAAAAATCCCAATTTTGCACTTGACTTGATCCATTTCTTGTGTTGCTGCACTGACAACTACACACCAGACTTCATTCAAAATATTTCCAATTTTACACTTGACTTTATTCATTCCTTGTGTGGCTGCAGTGACGTGTATAACTATAATTTATAACATCTATAGCACCAGACTTCTAATTCAGACTTCTCAGCTGGAATCAGATGTCATTCCAGACATTTCCTCTTTATTTCAGCAGCTGTTCACATAAACCTTCTGATGAATCAGCGTTCCTCAGAAAACACTTTGAGAAGCTTCCTGAACGCTGAGTGAAGTCGTTCTGATCGCGGGTTTAAAGCAGAAAAGTTCTTACGGTGAGCAGCAGGGGGCGGCTCTCCTTGACGGCGCCGACGCAGCCCAGGCAGCCGATCACCATGATGATGGTTCCCACGGCGATGAGCAGGTTGGCGGCCGACAGCGACGGCAGCGACGACGACAGCGTGGCGAAGTTTCCCTGAGTCACCGAGAGCCAGACGCCCACGCCGAGGATCCCACATCCTCCGAGCTGGAGACGGAAACACAGCGGCGGTCAGACGGGAAGACCAGAACCAGCGGTCCAAAGAGAAAGTCAGACATGAGCAGAAACATCTAAACATCTAAACATCTGAATATAAAGAACATGCAAAGACGGTGGAACACAAATGGAAGAGAAACACCAAAACTTCTCAGAAACAGTTTAAAGACAGAATCCTGCATCTGGGATTGTTTAGATTTTTGCAGAAAAGGTTCGAGAAGATCGACGCCGTTATTCAGACGTCTGTCGTGAACGTGAAGCTGCAGCCAAACTGCAAACAACTGAACACATCTGTGACTTCTGGGCTGAACTGCAGGACGTGTCCAACCAGAGAAGTAAATATTTAAATGTCTGGAGGATGTCGAGTCATGATTTTTATTCCTATTTCCTCCAGTGTTTGTGACACAGGTGGACGTTTTAAATCATATTGTTCAGGTTGATTCCATTTGTTTTCGCTTTTTTTGTTCTTTTTTTTTTGTTGTAAAATAATCAAAGAAATTTCACTTTTTAGCTACAAAACGTAAAAACAGAATCCGATTTTAAACTTTCGGGGTTCGTTCCTCTTCTTTGATTATCTCTTGCTACGCTGACGACACACAGCTCTACTTCTCAGTTCACCCAAATACCAACAACACCTGCAGCATTCATGACTGTAGTGCATCCGCTACAAACTGATGTCAAATAATTCTCTCTCCCTAGATCCAGATCAAACAGAGGTCCTTGTGTTTGGCCCAGATCCCGTTGCTAAGGGAGGTCAGTGTTGAACGCAGCCCGCTATCTGCCAAAGTTGGATCAAAAGCTAATAACCTGGGTGTCCTGTTTGACCAGCAGCTGGACTCTGAGGCCCACATCACCGGGCTTCTTCAGACCTGATATTCCCATCTGCTAAAATCAAACCACTGCTGTGAGCCGAGCAGAAGGATCTCCTGGAACATTCCTTCATTGTCTTAGACTCCTGGACCTCCCTGTTCACCGGCAGAACGCCCTCCTCCACAGCTCGTCTTCAACCGGGTCAAAACTCTGCAGCGAGACTTTTAACAAACACCAGCCATAAGTCCTACATCAGTCCGGTTCTGGCCTCCTTCACTGGCTCCCAGTAAAATTCAGAATAAACTTTAAAACACTGTTAATTACCTACAAAGCCCTTCAGGACACTGTATTTGATCAGAACTGTGTTTTTATCTTTTAGGACTGTGTGAAAGTGTTTTGTTATTATTATTGATGGTAAACTGAATATTTAGTGCTTTTATTGTTTATTTTTATTTTTTTATCTTTTTAACATTTTACAAACCAAAAGTAATCAAACAATCCAGAAAATAACTGACAGATTAATTAACAATGACAATGATCGTTAGTATGTGCAAATCACCGAGTTCATCTTTAAAAATACAGAAAAACATCTGGACTGAAGTTCATCTGTGAAAAACAACATCTGTATTTAAGTCTCTGTGTTAAAACACCGCCTGATGCTAAACTGAAGCTCCTCAGATGCTCGTACAGGAAGCCTTCCTCACCCAGAACTCCCCGAGGCGACCAGCTTTACACGCTAAATCCGTGATTATTGTTTCTCCCCCCTCGTTTCTTTCTATTTCCAGCTTCAGCACCAGATCTTATTTAATGAGCTCCAAGTAGGCCAAAGAGGAAGCGGTAACAAAAAGAAGAAGGAATGTGATTGGTTGGCAGGTTCCAGCTGATGGAGGGTCACCGCTGACCCCGGTGACGCCTTCAGCTGATGAAGACGGGACTCAGAAACGTGGGTGCAGCTAATTCTGGAGGCTCGGTCCGTCTGTCAGAGAGAAGATGCCGTTAAATCCCTCGTAGGTGTTGCTCTATTCAGACGCTGATGAACACGTTTGGCATCGGTTTGAATTCACTCGACAGCCGAGAAACCGAAGCCTGGATCCGTCCAAACTTATTTATCTGCACGTTTAAGCTTCTGCTGGGGTTCAGTTCACTTCTCTTGTTTTTATTTAACCTTTATTTGAACCCTCTGAGCCTCAAAACCTGCTGCGGGGTTTGGAAAGCGTGTGACTGTTTAAAAAGACTCGTTATTAATTATAGAATTATTACTAACGTTGTTCAACCAGAGGTCACGTCGTCTGTTTCTAAGTGATGGTCCAGAAGGAAACCTTTAATCTGAAACCAGCAAAGTGAGAAACAACAGCAGCTCATCAGGACCAGAAGTCCAGCTCTTCTTGAAGTTCCTCCAAACTTTCCTGCGTCTGATGGCCACCGTCCTGATTACCTCCTCGTCCTCCTGAGAAGCAGCAGCAGCAGCTTAAACGCGCGGCGGCGGCTGGTTTCAGTCGATGCAGCCATCTGGACTTCCTCCACGCTCTCAGCAGGTCCGTGTATTTGAAGCCGAGCTGAGAATCTGGCGGCTGATTAGGACTCTGGACCGCTCCACGTGTGAAAGGACGCACAGCTTCCTCCGTCAGCTCGCAGCACAGGACGGATTCTTTAGTGGTTTTATCTCAATAAACAGTAAACCTGATGTTTGTCTCTCAGATAGAAGGATTCACAGACATCTGCTCTTTACTCACTGATACTAAAGTTTTCAAGTTTATTATGGTAAAAATATTACAATTACATACCCACAGTTACAACAGGAAAAGAAGCACCGGTTCTGTGATTTTAGGTTGATTTCCAAGTTTTTTGTTTCAGTATTTACTATTACTAACTACAGTGCAGCAAAAAGTTTCTCAACTTTCTCCACACAGCAGGTTTTGTTTTTTTTTTAAATATAATTTTATTGCAAACTGGTTTAAATGAAGCAGTGAAAATATATTGAAAAATAATTGAAAAATATTTCCAAAAATAATTTAATTAACAAATTAACAGGATGTCATTGGTTCTGTAATTTTAACTAAAAATTTAAATTGATTCAAATTAGACATTTTGTTTCGTTATAATGTGATATAATGCATTTATTATATTATTATTATTATTATTATTATTATTGTTAATAATAATAATAATAATAATAATAATAATTCACAGCTGTTACACACATGAATGTTCTTATTTTACACTCTTTTAGATGCATCTCCTGCTAAAAGATTACTTTTTTTTTTCTTTTTTTTTTTACAGTGCAACAT